TACTTCGCGTTACTTTGAAGGATGAGAAAGACGTCGAGGACGTTCTTCTTTCTAGTTACCTTCTTGGTAAAGTTTCGAGTCGTATAAAAATACTTCCTGATCGACCGTGAACCGAACGTATGCGCCATCGCACGAACCAAGTAGATGCACGCGAGTCGGAGGATAAACGAGTTGTATTGATTCCCGGAGGCTCGAAAATAAACGGTCCAGACGAATCTACATATAAAAAAAACGATTGTAGAGTGGAGGTTTATTCAAGAGTCAGTCAGCCGACTTCCGTGTTCAGCAAACCACCGTGGAAACGGCCCGATGATTATGAAAGTACTCCCCAGTACCCCGGAAATGGTCACATCAGTCTTGCAGGCATGGTATCAAAACCGAAGAAGAGGACCACCAGAATTACGCCTCAGACAACTGTTGAATAGTGAGGTAAAACGACGTCCGCGGTTAGAAAACAAAACTCTACTTCCCTCTACTTCGTCCGGAGCCCACAGCAGCAGAACCGATTCCCCCAAAAACTACTGCTAGCCGACCGCTGAGTGGTCGGTATAAATAACAATTCGAAACCCAGCGGATTCCTAAGCAGACGCTCCCCAAATTGTTTTTACACAAACGCAAAAAGGCTTCCTTAGCAAACTCCCTGAGGTTCAAATGCGCTTACAAACTGGTCAATGGGATCTTGTTGCCATTACCGAAATTTGGTTGACTGCCGACATTCTGGATTCTGAATTGCACCTACCCGGATTATCGCTGCTGAGGCGTGATCGTTCTACACGAGGTGGTGGTATGCTGTTATATTTCCGCAGCAACCTTCAATGTGAACCACTCGATCACTTCGATGCAGTACCCGATACACTTTGGTGCACAATGAAGCTGTCCAAAGATATCAATTGTTTGATCGGTGTAGTCTACCGCCCTCGTGCATCCTCAGACTTAGCTAACGAGGCGCTCTTGCAGGCTATGAGAAATATTCTCTCAGTAAAGTTGATTCATGTTCTCATAATTATCCCAATTTTATAAAAAGCCAGAACTATCACCACCCTTTCGAGCGAAACTTATCACAGTTTCTGGACTCACATCCGATGTATAAGTACGTGAAAGATCCCACCAGATTTGGAACAGGCCACCAACCATCAACATTAGACTTGGTATTGATAAGCGAGGAGCTTATGGTCGAATCGGTCGAAATAACGTCTCCATTAGGACGAAGCGATCATGCAATTCTGCTTTTCGATTACATCTACCACGCCTCAATAGAAATGCCTGAAAACCAACATACGCACCGTTATTGACTACAATGAATTGCTGAACCTTGCTACTGTCAAACAATGACAACCAGAAGAGCAGCTAGATCCACTGGAGTCCTGGAAAAGATTCATTGAAACACTAACAGAACTCATAACGGTCGCCACAAAAACCAAGCCTGGCGGTAAGTTGTCTACACGATTATCACCTATCCGTGATCGAATCAAGAAATGGATGTCACAGAAGAATTTCTCCTAGCGAGAGTTCAGAAGATGTCCGACGGCCGACACTTGAGATAACTATATCATGTTGAGAAACCTTTGTGTAAAATTCGTGCGAGAGGATAAACGGAGGTTTCAAGAAACTCCGGCACATAAGTTTATTTCCAATCCAAAGATACTGCATAAGCAAGCATATCAATGCTACCAGAAAAGTGAAATATGGAATACCGACACTAAGGCATACAGGACGCGTTTCCACTACTACTGATGAAGCAGCCGAATTCCTAAAAGTCCAGTTCTACGATGGGTTCACTGCAGGTAACAGTTGTCGATGAGATTTGATTAGCTGGAGATAAATTACCTTCTATAAACAATTTCACAGTGCTCCTTGTAAATAACATGCGAAGTGACATAAGCTCTTTTTCAGTGATGCGCAATTATGTCGGGTAATTTTAGGCCTTTCTCCTTTACTCAAAATCTTTCTCCATTTGGTTAGTGATATAAATTACATCCAGGCGTGAGGCTACGAGGATACACGGTGAAAACGACGGGATTATCAGCTGTCAGCAATGCAAGGGCCGTTCATAGAAGATAACTTTACATTTCGCGAGGCAGCTGAAACAATGTAATAGCAGTGGAGCAGAGCTCCAGTGGGACACTCATTCGATCCTTGAATTTAAAATCAAAGGCTAATCAACCCTGATTAACACGATTGGAGAAAGCATTACACAGATCAATTCATGATTTTGAATTATGGTTGAATACGGTGCCAGACTGAACCAACTGCTTAACCAATATCTGACTGAAATCATAGGAATAATGAATTTTACTTGTCACATGCTTCGTGGAATATGGAGAACCTAGACAAGAAGTGGATTGCGTGAAATTCGTATCCGCTTTATGCCAGTAATCTTTATTGCACAAAAATTGAAGAAAAAACAGATTCACCGCGTTGGAATAACAAAATGAACCAATCATGTTGTTTGATATAATGTTCTTCTGGTGCTCTAACTAAATCACTCTACTCTTTTTCCTTGCCCCGATCGTCTGACTGAGAATCAATCAAAAAGAAACATCCCAGCTGCCAAGGAGTAAATACCGAACATAATAACTCACGTCGAATACTACTTCTTCTAAGTGAGCTACTAATCGATTTGTATAGTCCATAGGTGTTGTGTTATTCGACCACGGATCGTCATCCAGTTCTTGCCAGTAAGTAAGATCAAAAGACGTGTGACACTGACCGGACAACTGATGGGCAAGTAGATCTTCAGGGGATTGTATCTGATCCGTGCTTTCAGGGCTGGTGGTCAATGCCATCGGATCCTCTTCATCGTTGGAAGATGCGGAACTGACAGACAATCCGGTTTCTTCATCCGTTAGTTCCCCCGCTTGACGATAACCTGACGCATCCAGGATGGGATTTATTGATACAGGACTAGAACTCGTCACAGGGCGATGAACACGCGATATTAAAGTCTGGGTAAAGGAAGAGGGCGAGAGATAAACATGATCTAATGAGGAGCTAAATGGTGCAACACATTTATAGACAAAATCTTTTGCATACTTGTAGATTATGATGTAGTATATCTACTTTTCCGACTTCGGGGGTCTCTTTGGAGAGCATAGACCGCTTTCATAGAGATCATGATGTTTCGCAGAAGCTTGATAAAAAAGACTTCTCAAGTGTTACCCTACTTTTTTCGAGGACTTACTTCTAGCCTTTGCACAATAGAACTGGAAGGCAGAAGGTGCACAGTTTCCGCTTGTTTCATAGGAGCTCATTTGTCATTAGGTAGATGTGGATGTAACTCGAGAATGATGCATCTTCTTTTGTTGGATAGATTTCTTTCATAGCCGGNCCGGTGAATCAGACGGAAAGGGTGTCATTCAGATTTTCAGGCCTCGATTTCCCCCAAAGTGGTTTAACAAGCCTTTTGAGCAGTTTGATTGGGTACAGTCGTGGATGCATACCTCGGCCTTCTGTTGAAACCACTGGTGGGATTTGGATCGTTGATGGAGACCCAAGAGGTGGAAGGTGCCCAAGGGACTCAACAGTCTACCAGCTTATTTTTCATACTCTTACCAGATAACTCTTCCATACATCAAACACATTCATCAACAGAATACATGGATTATAACACTAATGAACAATCTACGTAGAATCTCACGTAGTGTGTTGTTGGGACTGGACGTACGAATGACACGAGCGACTCTTGCTTAACCCCAC